TTATTTGTTTTTCTAATAAATTTACTAATTGATTGTTAGTTTGTTGGTAATATAACATTCAAGGCGACTCCGTACCCAAGGGGAATCGAACATGAGACCTCTTGGTTAAGGATGAAGGAGTACTTAATTACCACTCCACCACAACCCTTGTTGGTAATAAATTTTAAATACGTTAGTATGATTATTTGTTTTTCTAATAAATTTACTAATTGACTGTTAGTTTGTTGGTAGTATATCATTCAAGTTCAATGTTAGGTTAGTAATTGATTGACAATATGTTCAAAATATCATTAATTGAATGATTATTCAATAGTAAAATATTTATTAATTTATTGCATTTAAAAATCTAAGAGCACGAATATAAATCCAAAAATATTAATATCAATTTTATAAATCATATTTGAATGAAACAATGTAAAATCTATGATAACAAGTTAAATTAATCTCAATATGACACATATCATTATATCAAAAAATTTAATTTGAGCACGTTTATCAAAAATATTGACCAAATCTAAATTTTGGCCAAAATTTAAAAGTTAAAACGCCTAACAGCACAAACTGAAAATGGAAGCCTCAAAATTTGAACCAACCATCCTATTAGATATAAAAATGAACTTCCAAAGCAAATCGCGCTGACGGAATTCTCATCAGAGCATGTTTACAAAAAATGTTAAGCAAAATCAAATTTTGGCCTAAAGTTAAAAGTTAAAACCCCTAACGGTACAATCTGAATATGAAAACCTCAAAATCCAAACCAACCATCCTATAAGACGAAAAATGACCTTCCAGAGCTTCCAGAGCTAACTGCGCTGACGAAATTCAAATTTGAGCATGTTTCCCAAAAAAATTGACCTAATTCAAATTTTAGCCAAAAGTTAAAAGTTTAAACGCTTAACGACACAAACTGAAAATAAAAGTCTCAAAATCCGAACGAACCATCCTATGAGACCAAAACTAAACTTATATGGCTAACCGCGGTGACAAAATTTCAATTCGAGCACGATTATCAAAAATATTGACTAAAGTGAAATTTTGGCCAAAACATAAAAGTTAAAATGCATAATGACACAAACTAAAAATGGATGCCTCAAAACCCAAACCCTCTAACTTATTACATCAAAAATGACCTTCAGCATCTAACTGCACTGACGAAATTCTCATCTGAACACGTTTATCAAGTATATTGACATAAGTTAAATTTGACCAAAATTTATAAGCTAAAACACCTAACGGCACACACTAAAAATGAAAGCCTCAAAACCCAAACCAACCATCCTAGTAGATAAAAAATTACCTTTGGAGTTAATTACGCTGACGGAATTTTCATCTGAGCACGTTCACAATTTTTTTTACCAAAGTCAAATTTTGGCCAAAATAAAAGATTTAAAACACCTAATGGCACAAACAAAAAACGGAAGCCTCAAAACTTGAACCAACCTTCCTGTTAGATAAAAAATGACCTTTCGAAGCTAATGACACTGACAGAGTTCTAATCTGAGCACGTTTACCAAAAATATCGACCAAAGGCAAGTTTTGGCTAAAATTTTAAAGTTAAAACATCTAACGACACAAACTGAATATGAAAGCCTCAACACTAGACGTTGATTTACCACTTCAATTGATAAATTTATCAACTATTCAAATATAGGTTATAATTAATAATTTATCAATAAATTTTATCACAATTGGTAATAGTTACTATTCAACTAAACATTCATATGTAATATTACCAACTAATAATTAATATGTTGGTAAATTTTACCAATAGATTAATGATCAGTTGGTCTATTACCTACTATTTTAATGATGTTAGTAATTTACTAACTACAATCTTTATTCGTCAGCAAAATTTTCAACTAATTGGATATTGGTTGGCAAGTTTACCAACAAATTACATTTCGTTACTAATTTACCAACACATTTATATTTGGTTGGTAAATTTAGCAACACAATCTTGCCGTTGGTAAATGTTTGGTTAGTAATTCATTGGTAATATGTTAATAAATTATATAAACAATTTTTTGTCATATTAACCAACCGATATATACTTCGTTGGTAATATTACCAACAAAAGGTGTGCGTTAGTAATATTTCAGTTGGTAATCCATTAATAGAATGTTGCTAAATTTGGCGCCATGTTTTCTCGCCGTATTTACCAACTAAAATACTTAGTTAGTAAGATTTTGGTTGGTAATCTGTTAGAATTTCGTTAAGTTTTAAAATATAATTCAGTTAGAAATATGTTGGTAATTTGTTAGTAGAATACTAACCAACTTAAGTTGTTAGTAAAAATCTATTGGCAATTTGGGGTTTTTTTGTAGTACCGACTGAGTAACTTCAGGAGATCAGACTAAAGAGCACAGAACAACCTTCAGGCCACCACTATACATTAGTCTCCAACAAACACATGAGGAGACAAGTAACAAAGTAGATATGAACAAGAAATTTCCTACGATACCGACTGAGTAACATCAGGGGATCAGACTAAATAGCACAGAACAAAGATAATGCTAACCAAAAAAAAAAAATGCTCAGTACCCATGTCCAGTACCTCCTGCTAATGTTATAACTTCTTTATGCTCAACTATATTTTAGCTATATTTGATTTGTCACGACCTGAGCCTACATCGTGGACGTGACCGACACTCGAGAACTATTGTTGGTCCCCAAGCAAACCCTCATCCTGGCTGGCTACAATCGGAAGAGTAACTTAAGCATACAAAAGCTTAAAAACTAAATAGAATTCATGAAACTCAAATACAAAGCTTTAACTCAAATGATTTTACTCCAAATATAAATAGAATATTCAACTAGCCAATAGGAAACTCAAGTCTTTAAAACATTTAAAAAGATAAATGAAACAGACTTTTCAAACTCTACTGTCTATCTATGAAGCCTCTAAATGACAAAGATGGAAGTTGGGACAAGACCCATGACATCCTGACAAAATTGAAAAATAAATGAAATCCTCTGGAAAAAAAGAGGCTCAACATATAGAGCTAACTCGAACTCCATGTGGTATCAACGAAGCTCCTGTTGATGATCCTGAATACCTATATCTGCATCATGAAATGATGTAGACCAAATGGCTCAGTACATGAAATGTACGAGCGTGTAAGGGGAATTTTAAAGCATAACATAAGCTTGAACTTGATAAAAAGGAAACATACTTACCTCTTCTCAACTCACTCAACTAAACTCAACTCAAGAATAAGATACTTAACACAAGATACTCAACTCTAGATAAAACAACAATAAAAGATGCAATATATGGAAAGCTTTTAAAACAGTAAATAGCAACTCAATGTATTTAAGAATACAATAACAACTCAATTTGTATATAATAAAATATAATGTAATTCTGTGGAGATTTTCTAACCAACAATCACACTATGAGCTATGTGATGTACATCGTCTCACCCACATTGTCAAAACTGTCATATACTTTGCCAGGGCATAAGACCTCTCAACTAAGTGGATCCACTAAGCAATAATGATTCATCTAAAAAGTATGACTATTTCTACCCACGTTGGCTACATGGTTTATGGAGACTTGAGTTATTTGAACTAATCCCCATATCGGTGCTCAATAATACTCCCAAAAATATACTCAGCTCATATGTTTAAAAACATAACTCTTTCTTGGTTTGAGATAATTACTCAAAAATCTAACTCTTAAAAGAGATGGTACTCAAACTGCTCAAAAACTCTTTTGGAAATCTCAGTTTCCTCTCATCAAAAACTCTTATGTGTCTCGTGTGTATATATATATATATATATATATATATATATATATTTACACGAGACACATAGAGAGAAATAATAAACAAAGGAGTTAGTATCAGTTCTTTATTGTTCTATGCCTCTTGTTCTTATACATGTTGGAAATCACTCCTTGCTTCTACACTTGTGTAGATTCCGAGCCCAGTACGGTGTGATCACTCTTCTTCTTCTCCTACTTTTCGAGGCTTGTCAAAGAACTATTGAGAGTAGCTGCTTGTCTTTCTGGCGGGCCCTCTTTTTCTTTATGTTAAGCTTTATTCTATTTGATAAACAAAGACATTGAGACTATCTAATTATTTCATTTCCGCACTTTTTGTATTAGAGACTTGTACACGTGATAATCAGATTTTGAGGTGTTAATAGAATGAATAAGTTTTTTCGCTTCCTCTTGTTCTTGTTTTATCTTTTCGCATTCCTTTCGTTTCGTTGAGTTGAGGCTAATTTGTCTTGGTGAAAATAGACAAATGTCATCATATTCATTTCGAACCGTGTCACTATTCTATGAATGAAACAGACAATAATAAGGTCAATATTGGGCCCGGGCAAAAATTATCTAGTTTCAACTAAATGGATAGGTTAGAATAATACCTCTTCTTTCTCGGTACGTTAGAATAATACTTGCGACTAATAATAACTCAATATACACGTCTCTAAAATCAGATCAAAGTCATAAATAGAATAAGAAAATTCATAAAATACAGTTGTATAGAATAAGATGTGTCTTTATTGCTTATCCCCAAGTTGGTATATTCACAGTACGGGGTTATATATATACTACAAACAAAAATATCTTTAAGAAAAAAAAAGAGTATTGTCAAGTTCTCTAAATTTTTGCATAACTAACAAGTAAAAGGCACTGATCACTGTTTATGGCAGAATCAAGTTATGCAACTTGACTAATAATAAATCATATTTACACGTCTCTAAAATCAGACCAATTGGTCTGAAAACCAAAAAAAAAGAAAAGTAAAATTAAGAATTTTCTTAATTTTAGATGTCATTTGATTATTATATCTTTTCTTAGTAGACTAATTCAAACTGTTCATGACTTTTCTTATATTCCCAGTACGTACGCGGTTGTCACTAACATAACACTTGTGCCAAATAAATCTGTTATATATATAAACGAACATTTAAACTACAAACAAAAATATACTCTACTCAAAAGAAATATCATAAAAAAAAGAGTATTGTTCAATATCTCTAATTTTTTGCATAACGAACAAGTAAAAGTGACTGATCGTTGTTCATGGCGGAATCAAGTTATGCAACTATGGCTAATTATCCAATTGCTGTAATCGGATCTCAATATTGTATGCCGAACCAGGTTGATGTTGTTATATCTAGGAAGGTGAAGAAAATTAGATATGGAGAATTTGTTGTTTCAGATATGAATGGAAACTTCATGTACAAAGTTAAAGGCACAACTTTTGGATGGCATGATAAAAGAGTTATTCTTGATGCTGCAGACAATCCCCTCATCACTCTCAAGCAAAAGGTACATGATTGGTTTTTTTAATTATTTGAGGTTAATTTTTAGAGATCTCCTCATATTATGAATTTTTAAATTAATAATGAATAGGTTACAAAAATTTGTTATAAAGAAATTAAAATAAGGGAAGGAAAGTAAATGTTATATATATATATATATATATATATATATATTTGGATCACTCACTGCATGGCTCATTTAAGGGTGGCGTTTCTAACAAAAAAAAAATCATATTCAAGACTGTCATATGATACTTCTGATTAAGGGTGGAGCAGTCTCAGCCACAGCCACTGTACCATAACTCATGTTAGGTAATGTTACAAGCCAAATCTTAAGGAAGATCTGTGCTACTCACTAACATAGTAACATGATAACATGATAAATAAGTTTATAAACATTGATAATTAAAGATATCTTGCATTATCAGTAAATTTTAATTTGTGATACCAAATTAATTATCATTAATACTTATCATAATAATTTACTAGTAATAACTTTACAAGTGACTATCATATAAATGTTTTTACGTTAGAATTAAAGTAGTTCTTGCTATCAATTAATTTTTGTATAGATATTGACTGAGCATTCGAGATGGAATGCATTTAAAGGAAAAAGCACAGATGACAAAGACTTTTTATTTACTATAAAGACAACATCCATATTTCAATGGAAGACCAAATTGGCTGTTTTCTTAGCAAATAACAATTCTAAGGAGAAGAATTATGATTATCTGATTAAGGGAAGTTGGTCTGATAGATCATGTGCAATATATGCGGGAGATTCTTCTACCATAGTTGCTCAGGTTAGTTATCGTTGATCTTACTTTCTATTTGTTATTCTTTCTTTAAGCATATTAGTTTGACTTGACAATGAATTTAAGAAATAAAGGAAGACTTTTGAATTTTGTAAGTTAAAGACGTATGTAACTTTCTAAATCTTATAGTCTTAAGTTTGTTAGGTAGAATATTGAAATTGAAACACTTACCCAGTATAGAAAAAACACTATTTTGGAAAATCCAAAAAAATAAATAAATAAGACAAATAATTTATTTTTGGTAATAGTAAAATGAAAATTTCCCGTCATACTTATTTTCTTAAAAATTAAATAAGTAACACTTATTATTTTGAGAGTAATGATATTATTACTACGATATTTTCAAATAATTTATGATTTTATAGTACTTTGTTTTAGAGAAAAGGGTAAAAAATACCCTTGTATATAAAGTAGATTAATTTCGTCCTTCATTATATTTTCAGTTCAGATGTCCTCCCCATTAAATATTTATCTTTAAAAAAATACTTCCAATTACTCAAATGAATCAATAATACCTGACTATTTCAAAACAAGAAAAACTGGACCAACTTTTTCCATTACTACTTCAAATGAAATAATTTGCCATCAATTTCAAGAATTTAGTAAAAATCTATTTTGAAGATAAATTAACTATTTTGAAATTCAACAAAACTTTCATTCTATTGTTTGTCAAAATTATTATACTGGCTCTTGACTGACATTTAGGATGATTTGAGCTAAAAATAAAGAAAGTAATAAAGCACATCAAGATATAACTGAAACTATTATTTTTAACCATATCAATATTCTTAGAATTAGTAAGGAAAGGTACATAATATCATGTTTAAGAAAAAATATAACTCATACCTAATGTGTTAAAAAGAAAAAAGAATCTATATGCCATCTTCTTTTCAAACGAAAAATATTTATTCTACTTATTTTCTTATTTTATAATTATATTTCTCACATTCAACTAAATTAACCTAATTTTTCTTGATTTGGAATAACATTTTCCTACTAAAAGGAAAGGTATTTTAGTCTATTTTGATGGTTGAAGGATATTTTCGAACAAAAAATATAACAAGAAGAATATTATTTTTATCAAAATTAATATAATAAAGAATAAATTTAATCTATTTTGAATAGTTTTGTATTACTTTTGGGAAAATTTTTCTTATGTTTGAGGTAAAACTTGTGGCAGACAAAACTTGTATGAGGCTCCATTCATATTTTGCCAAGTGGATTTTTGGATCTCATTTTCAAAAAAAAAAGGGAAGTGTCAAAATCTCTCCTCTATCTTCCTTTTTAGTTCAACTTTTCCTTTTCTTTCTATGTATAATTATTTTTAATTTTGCTACTTTTTTTTTAATTTTATTAATTTTTATTCCCGAAAAATGTGGAATTTAATATTTCTAGCCGAATTTATCTTATTGTAACATTTTGATATTATTTTTTTACTTAGATTACTAAATATAGTTATTCAAAATTATTTGGCAACTAACAAAATTATTATTTTTATTTATAATTTTTTAAAGGACGTCTAAAAGGAAAAGCGGACTACTAATTAAAAAGCAATAGGGGTATAAGTTTAATTTGTTCTCTTGTTCTTCTTTCAACAATTTCATAATTTCTAAACACTTAAATCCATCAAATATTCTCCAACAATAAAATATAATGGAAAGAGCATCAATGATCATGACAAATAATTACATAAGTTTTAATTTGACACTATTTTCATGAAACCCAAAATCGAAAAGCATCCATAAACACCTACATATATACATACACTCTCCATCAATTTATACAATATTCTTTTATTCTCAAAATTGCAGCTATAAATTTGTTTTTCATTATTCTAATATGAGAAAAATCTCAACTTAGTGAGAAGATTTTTTTATGAAAAAAAAATACATTTTATAGCTTGGATTTTGAGAACAAAAGGATATCGTATAAATTCATAACGGAGAACGAGTATATATGTAAGTGTTTTAATAATTCACTCCACAAGAATTTTTTTTGCAACTTTACAAAAAGAAAATTACACTTTTAAAGAAGAATTAGTTATTACGATGAAATGGGGGAAAATAATTAATTATGTTTAAAATTTGTTAATTGACCAAATTGTAAATTTATGTTTATCCTAAAACATTACAATTGAATTTTTATGATGTTAAGAACACATGTTTAGTTTAATTCTTTTTTAAGTAGACATAAAGAAGGAAAAAGTAAAATAAACTACATTAGAGGAGAATTAGAGAAGTGATGTTAAAGAGAGAGAGAGAAAATAAGAACTTAATATCAATTTTCAAAAATTACTTTTGCTCATGGTGCCTTTTTAATTTGTGTAATAAAAATAAATTGAATAAATTTTTTCTTTAAAAAAAGACGATGTACTTTATGTTAGAGGGAGGAGTAAATGGAAGATGAGGGGTAGGAGTGAGAAGAAAAAAGATAAGTTATAAATGTATGGAGCCATAAAATGTATTTTTATTTATTATAAAACTCTCTTATATAATTATAACATGGTATACCTTACTCACCATAAAATATTTCAGCACTAGATATATTCATTATATTACACAGTATTTTGGCTTGTGTTTTCTTGATTTAGGTCATGGTACTTTCTTTCTTAAAAGTTATCGTTTGATTGAGTGTATAATAATAATATTGAATAAAGTGTATTAGTAATGTATGTATTAGCTAGTTATATTGATATTATTTAATTCTCATATACTGTTTGATTTGATGTAATAAAAATAACAAGTCTTGCATAACTTCTATAACAAATACTTGTTTACAAAAATATCCTCCACGCTCATTAGCTTTGGAAAATAAAAAAATGTGTTGATAGAGATTTGAAGAATAGTTATGTCACTAATCAATTTAATGCATGTATTGAAATCTTTTGTATTAGGAATAGATGAAAATCTATGGTATTATAATAATATACACTACACTTCAATACACAATAGACTGTGAAACTAATACAAATATTAATTTTATTATATCCATTGGCTAAAAAAATATATCAAACAAGATACTACTATTTTTCTAATACACAAAACTAATACTCTCTCTTTCCCTAATTACTTGTTCATTTTTTCTTTTTTAATTGTCCCTAATTACTTGTCCATTTTGACAAATCAAGAAAAGACAAATTCTTTTTCTCTATTATACCCTCAATTTATTACTTTGAAAAATGTAAAACTTTTTGAAAATCTTAAGTTTTTAATTCATTCACTTCATAATTAATAGGGTTAAAATGATAAACTCACTATATCAATTATTGTTTTCTTAATAGGTGTGTGTCAATTTAAAAGTAGCTAAGTAATTAGAGACAAAGAGTACATGCATTATTTTTTCTAATACACTCTACCAAACAACCCCTTGGAACGAGTGTTAATAATTGATCACACAAATTCATTTCTTAGTTGAAACTGATGAATTAATGAACATTATATTATGACTTATTGCAGATGCATAAGAAAATTACTGACAAGAGTTTATTAATTGGAAAAGACAATTTTATGGTGACAATGTATCCAAACATTGATCAAGCCTTCATCGTCTCCTTAATAGTAATTCTTGATGCTATCACTGAAACCGATGCTGCTGTCATAGGTGCCGCTGCCGATGTAGGTGCCGCCGCTATTGGTGTTGGTTTCTAGCAAATTAAAAGTATCTATTCTGCAAAATAATACTTCTTCTGCCCTGATGTATGTGGTATCGTTTAATTTGACACGGTGTTTAAGAAAAAAAAACTTTTAAAATTTGTGGTTAAAAACAATTCTTAAATATTTATGTGGTTGTAAATCATTTCACTAAGGGTAAAATGAGAATTTTAAAATTAAATTATTTTCAATTATAGAAGGATGATATTTTTTTTTGTGAGAGACTAAAATGAAAAGGTAGCACATGAAATAAGACGAAGAGAATGTTTATTTTAGACCGTTGAGGTTGTAGACTGTAGTATCATATTTTGATTATGAAAGTTATTTTAGTCCAACTGGTAAAAGGTTAATCATGCATTAATTATCTTTTGAACCTAATGAGATTGTGGAATCTCAATTTCGAGCTCATATACATTGGTCAAACTTCAAAGGATTTCACTTAATTATTAGGAATGTTATTCATTATTTCATTTACTTTTGACCTTAAAAGTACATGACCAATGAGAGTATCTAGGATTTCTTATATAGGATATGTACAAACGATGATCGTATTTGAAAAAGGATTTCTCTTAATTAAGAATGTTATTCATACATAGTTATTGAAATACTTTATATGATAAAGGTTAATTCAAAGGTTCATACTCATAGTATATGTTCAGTACGTCGCAAAACATGATTTATGGCAATAGGAGTCATTGATATATATGTGGTGACTTACCACTTATTCGGGATCTTTTTACTTTAGTTTTGTGTCATATTTGCCCTTTATTATACTTTTTCAACATATTTGTCCTTTTCAACCAACTTAAGGGTCATATTTGCCCTTGTACTCTCAATAAGGGTCATATTTATCCCTACGACGTTAACTCCCCATCAATATATTTGCCCTTATACTCTAAAAAAAGTGACATATTTTGTCCTTAAACTCTAAAAAGGGGTAATTTTTGCTTTGTATTTTAAAAATTGGTCATATGACCCTTTTAGAGAGTATAATGACAAATATGACCCTCTTTTAGAGTACAAGAGCAAATATATTGATGACATGAAGATTAAACATCATAGGGATAAATATTGTTAGTGGAATAGTTCGTTACTTAGAGTTGTATTAGCAAATAAAGTCAAGTTGTTTTAGCTTTGTCCCAGTCTTTAGGGGAGTAGTTTATCATGGATCTACTTCCTATTTTTTAGAAGGTAGTGGTTCCATTTTTTAGCTTCAAACATTATGTATTTTTCATATAAAATCTCCAGTTGTTGCAGAGCACTAATAAGAGCAGCAAAGTAGTTCCCTTTCTTCTCAACGTGTCAACTCTTTTTCTCTATTTTTGTTTACTGCACATTTCACTATCTTGCTTATGTTTAAAGTGGCATCAGAGCGAGCGTGAGATCCTAAAGTGAAAAAAAATAGCGATAGGCAAACAACATTACATAGGGAGATCATGGAGTTATACCTCTCTCCTCTTTTCTGTATCACTCATGACATCAGGTAGTAAATATGTACAAGCAACAATTTCTCTCTTTGATGGTCATTATGACCATTGGAGTATGCTGATGGAAAATTTTTTGGGTTGAAGAAGTATTGGCCAATTGTCGAGGACGGCATCGGTGCTTCAACAAAAGGTGAAGTTTTAATGGATGCCCAAAAGACAGAGTTCGGAGCAAGAAAATTGAAATATTTAAAGGCAAAAATTTACTTCTTTCAAACTATTGAGCGTCCTAGTCTTTGCAAAGAAACTTCTAAGAGTATTTTAGATTCGATAAAGAAAAAAATATTAAGGCACTGCCAGAGTGAAGCGTGCACAATTTCAGGCCTTGAGAAGGAATTTTTGAAACTTCATAAATGAAGGAAGGAGAGTCTATAACGAGTTACTCCGCTAGAACAATGGAAATCGATAATAAAATGTGATTCCATGGCAAGAAGATGAATGATGTCACAATTGTTGACAAAATATTGCGCCCTTTGACACCAAAGTACGATTATGTTGTGTGCTCCATTGAAGAGTCAAAATATGTAGATGAGTTGTTGCTGGACGAATTGCAAACTCCTTATTGGTGCATGAATAGAAGATGAATTGCAGTTTAATTTCTTAGGAGCAGGCCTTGAAGGCTTCTGCTTTTATTTTTTCCAATTCTAGAGAAAGAGGAAGAGGTAGAGGTAGAGGAATAGGGAAGTCAATGGGGCAGGGCGGATGAGGGGGCAAGTGGGGCAGGTTTAAAGTTGTGGGGCGGGGTTTAAGGTTGTGCGGGGCAGGTGTAATGTGGGGTGGGTTGAAGTGAATTTTTTAAAACTAATGCGGGGGGTGGGTATATGTGATTTTATGTGGGTTTAAACTTAATTTTAATTTGTTTACATGTTATAAGAGTGATAGAACATTAGTTATTAAGATAATTTCTTTAAAACTGCTAAAATATCCAAGATAGTAAATGCAAATGATTTCAATAAAAATAATTCAATTTCTTATATGTTTCCCAATTGCCCTCTAATAAATAAAATTTTAAGTCACTATCCTATTAAATTAATACAAGTTAATAAAAAATGAATTTATTTTTATGAATTTTATTTTTAGTATCAAAGTTAAGTAGAAAAAGAAAATATTAAAAAATTATGTGGGGCAGATTCATGCGGCGGAGCGAATCTATGCGGGCGGGGTGAAAATGAAAAACCAATGTTATGCGGGGCGGATTAAAAATTTTGCGGGTTAAGCTCAACCCGCCCCGCCCCATTGCAATCCCTATAGAGGAAGAGGAAGAGGAAGAAGGAGATGAGATAGAGGAAATAGAGATGGAGGCAACAAGGATGGTAGCAGAAATTTTAGAGCCAATGATGACAAAAAAAAAGGGGAAAGAATTTTGACAAATTAAATGTCGAATGTTATTGATGTCATAAATTTGGTCATTATCAGTCTGATTTCTAAACTAGGTTGCCTAATGATAAGGACGAGAAGTCAAATTTTGTTGGAAACAATGAAGTTGAGACCTTGTTGATACCAACACAAGCATATGAAGAACCTTTGCAAGATTTTTGGTATCTGGACACAGACTGCAGTAATTACATAAGTGGGAGTAAGTCTTGTTTTTCTTATTTAAATGAAGGCTTTCGTTCTAAAGTTAGTTTTGTTGATTGCTCTACTGTGGATGTAATGGGAAAATGTAATATTAAAATTAAAGCCAAAGAATGATTTAGAATAATATCAAATTTGTTATATGTTCCTGCTCTAAAAAGCAATTTATTGAGTATTAGACAGTTGCAAGAGAAAAGGTATTTTATTCACACGAGAAAAGGTGTTTGTGAGATTTATAGTCCTACTAGAGGATCTACTGGAAAATAAATTCAAACAAGTTATTTCCCTTGAACATTGAGAGTATTAAATCTTTGTTGAAGTCGGAAGTGAAAGATCCTTCCTGGTTGTGACATTTTAGATATGGTCTCTTGAGTTTTGGTGGATTAAAAACTCTCCAACAGAAAAATATGGTAATAGGCATTTTCAAAATTCTCATCCCCTCCTAAGTTTGTGAAGAATGTATTGTTGGCAAATAACATCGATCGTTTCAATTTCAAAAAGGGAAGTCGTGGAGAGCAGAGGATATTTTAGAATGCATTCAGATATTTGTTGCCCAATTAGACCAACTTTTAATGGAGGATTTTACAGATGATTATTTTCGAAAAATTTTGATGTATTTTTTACGAGAAAAATCATAAGTTTTTGAAGCCGTAGAATGCTGAAATTGAAAAACTTACTAAGTATAGAAAAAAACACTATTTTGGAAAAGCCAAAAAAAATAAAATAGTAAGACACATAATTTCATTTTTGTTAATAGTAAAATGAAAATTTTCTGTCATATTTATTTTTTTTAAAATTAAATGAGTAACACTTTTATTATTTTGAGAGTAATGATATTAGGGAAAAAGCTTAAAAATGCCCTTAACCTATTAGAAATAGTTCAAAAATGTCTTCCTTCCACCTATTGATTTAAAAATGCCCTTAACGTTTTCTTGAGGTTCAAATATGCCCTTTAGCTAATAGAAATATGACATAGAATTTAACTAAACAAATGGTCAATTTTCATTGGTCAACAAAATTATTTTATCAAATAAAAAAACTTCACCCAAACCCGTTTTCAACTGGCACTTCATGCGACCTTTGTCTTTTCTTCTTCCTCTGTTCTTTCTTCATCCTCTTTTCTTTCTTGAAAAAACAACTTTCATCCCCAAAGTAACTAAAGTTGCATCAATTAACTTGATAAAAAATAGCTAAATTGCAGCTTTTAAGCCCAAAAAAGAATTACTTTCAACCCAACAAACAACAATTAAAATGAAAGCTTGAAACTCAAAAAATAACACCTAAATGTAGATTGTAAACCCCCAAAACAGCATTTTAACCCAATAAATAGCAACTAAAATGCATAATAATATTAATCACTGATGCCGCAAGGTGGGAATTTACATACAATATTCATTCGCATCCACATTGTGAAATGATTTACAATCAATCTTCAATAGCTATTACACGATTAATCTTGACTAAGAAACTAATCTTTTATACATTAAATAGGAAGAAAGAAAACACAAATTAAATAAAAGGGGTAGATGAGGAAAAGGGGAAGGGGAAGAAAGAAAGAAAGAAGAGAGACAAAACTTGGGTTATATTAATTTGAAATGGGTTTGGGTGTCGGGTTTGAAATGAGTTTGGGTGTTTGGTTTGAAATGGGGCTGGGTGGGTTTTTTTTTATATTTGATAAAATAATTATGTTGACCAATGAAAATCGGCCATTTGTTTAGTTAAATTTCATGTCATATTTCTGTTAGCTAAAGGACATTTTTGAACCTAAAGAAAACGTTAAGGGCATATTTAAACCAATAGGTGAAAGGAGGGCATTTTTGAACCATTTTCAATAAGTTGGGGACATTTTTTAACCTTTTTCCATGATATTATTACTACGATATTTGCAAATATTTTATGATTTTATAGTAATTGTTTAGAGAAAAAGTCAAAAAATAC